AGCATGAAAAAAATGTTTCAAACTCTCTCAATCACTGAAAAATTGTCCGATTTACATTCGGTTTGGACAGGGTAGCTTGTTTTTTGGCGTAAAATTGATTTCTGAAATAAAAAAGTAGGGGTGCCATTTGAAAATTTCGACTTACGGGTGGGGCACCCCCCGCCCCGTGCCCCTCCCGCGGATTGGGAAAATGTCGAATACGCCAAAAGGTGTCCCCCTTGATATAAACGAACACGTCTTTTACCGTTTTTCGAAATTCCGACGCGTTCGGCAGATATTCAAGGTGGCTCGTTTTTCGTGAGACACCCTGTATATTGCACGATTTTTGCCACATATTTTGGAGTCGATTTCCTAAATATTGACACATTTCTTGTATATTGCGACAATTTCGTATATATATTTCAAAATTTCATATATATCTTGAATATTTCATATACTACACCATTTCTTATATATTGCCAACATTGGTATCTTTAGTTACAAACGGCCCTTCATAGTGGAGGCCTAAAATATGGCAACCAATTAGAAATGGATTCGCATTGTCTTAACTCTCAGTATAAAGGGACTCTAGTTTAAGCGGTTCAAGGTTTGGTCCGCAACGGCGCGGCGTTTCATAATCATCGTCGGTCTGGCAATTTCGCACCTCTGTAAAAGGTAAAGTCAACAACCAATCAAATTCACATTGCTTTGATTCAAACCAGCCAATCAGCGTTGGCTTTTATACTCGAATTATAATTTGAGCAAACAAGGCGGATAAAGATAGTGGTCAAATTTCGAGTTCAGCCGCCATATTAGAGGCTGTGACGCACAGAGGGTACATGCTTTGCAATGGATCGCATTCGATAGTGGGTCGATGTATCGTTTGGTTCATAACTGTCTCTGATAATCTGATAATATTACAGCATAACCTCAAACCTAATTTTTGGCATGGAGAAAAAAAAGGAGGTGTTTGCATTTCGGGCATCATGGATTTTTTTGATGATTTGATGACGTAGGTCGGTACAGCGACGTTTTCATTCTGTCGATTTTCTTGGAAATTGTGTAATTTAAGGAAAAAAGTCATTCGATAAAAAGTGCTTGATATTATATTATGAGTTGATTTAAGTAAAAAAATCGGACATTGTGGTCCGTTTTTCATATTTCGAATTCTGGATTTCGCTGGCCAGGCTGTGACGACCTACGTCACAGGGTAAACAAACCTCAAGATGCTTGCACCTCATTTTTTTTCTCTATGCAACCTGGCCAGCGAAATCCGTAATTCTAAATATGTAAACGGACCATAATGTCCGATTTTTTTACTTAAATCAACTCATTATATAATTTCAAGCAATTTTTAAAGAATGACTTTTTTCCTTAAATTACACCATTTCCAAGAAAATCGACAGGATAAACGTCGCTGTACCGACCTACGTCATCAAATCATCAAAAAAATTCCAAGATGCCCGAAATGCAAACACCTCCTTTTTTTTCCTCCATGAATTTTTGGATTTCAGCAAGGAGCGCTGAAAGTGAGAAATTTCGAAGCAATTGCACTATACTAGGCCAATTAGTGCTCATACGAATAGCGCAAAAATCTAATACAAAATACCGCTAAAAACCCGTTCCGTCTACTCAATTGACTTTTTTGAGGGTATTTGTTCATGTTTTGGACTAATCGATATCGCTACAATCTCACCTGTTTGATGTATCGAATACGATTTCATGCCGTGTGACGTCAAGAGGGTACGAGATGATGCGACCACCATACTTTCATTCTTATTAACCGCCGTTTTGGGTAAGAGGAAAGTCGTTTTCCGTTACTACATCGAACCTTAAAGCGTATAGCAGCTGGCTAATGCCCAGATAAAATCAGTTGGTGCCTTCATTCGTTGACTTCTTTCGTTGTTTTTGCGCGTTTTTTTCGTTTGTTTCTTTATTTTTTGGATTAATTGTATTTGACTGCTCTGGTGCGTCACGAGTCTAAGATGTCGCAGACTTTCAGAAGTGCCATTTATCGCAAATCCAAACACCCTCACACGCTGAGATCAGCCTCAGACAAAGATTTGAGTCGTCGGGTGGAGGCCAAAAAAAAGAGAGAAAAGCAACATGTCCAATTTCGTAATATGCAATTACCACCGGATGAACCAGGTATTCTTGACTCTTACTATTGTGATAACCAATATCTACCAAACTCCGCTAAATTTACCGATCGAGCCTCATTATTTCATTGAGCTGACATTGCCTGCAGCTATAGCTGTGCTCATGGTATTTTTTCATATCAGCAGCGATTTTATTAGATATGGAACATGACGGACCGGGTTCTGCAAGGTCCAGGTCCACAGACCCAGGTCAGTCCATTAGGAAAGTTGAGTGTGGCAATATCTGCTGATTGGGGGTGAGGCCTGTCCGCGTTGCCAACAGATTCTCCCAATTCCTCTCTGTTCGTCCCACTCTCCTGTTCTCCAGATCTGATAATATTGATCTTATGCAGGTCAGGGAGGAGCTATGCAACAGGGCATCGCAAATTGAAACGTTTGGAAAGAAGTGAAACAGCAGATTAGGGGAATCCATAGCCACATCAGGAAATTCTGAAGATCATCTTGCTAATGGGCTGAACTAGGTCTATTGTCCTCGGGGTTCTGTGCATTTCAAAATGGTTTGGATGAGGTTAGGATTGCACCCAACTGCTCTTGACCCACCCCGGAAAAAAAATCCAAGCATTCCACCGAAACCCAAGGATCAGGTTGGACCTGGAGGTAGATAAAGTAACGCGGTTCGAACCCAAAAAAGGCATAGAGTGACATTGTAGTGCATGGCCAAAGGCTTTGCATTGGCCAATCAGTGGAGAACTCCCTTATCAATTTATCAACACTGCTCTGTTGAATATGTATGTGTCTCATGCTCTTTAAAGGTTGTGTGGCACCAATTCCTCAGCCTCTGTCACCTATAGGGCTTTCTTTTATCCAAGACCAATCCACACAGGTCAGTCATTGCGCAGCTTTTTTGAAATCCACTCCCCCGCCCGGCCCTAACTCGCAGCACTCATTGTGACGTACTATTGAGTGCTCCCATAAGAAATACATTGTATGCACTCAATACTACGTCACTGCGCAGTAGAGTACGAAAATTCGTCCTCGGGAATGACTGACCTGTGTGGATTGGTCTTGCTTTTATCCAAGGAACGCGATGGTAGCGGTTCAGGCTAGTTCAACCACCCTGAACCAACCTCAACCGACCTCGGAAGAGTGGTCCAAGCGTTCCACCCGGAACACATGGAACGCACTGGAACTTGTCTGGAACAGGATAAAAAAGTGACGGGGTTCCGTTGCTGTCCACTGTGGTGCGGCTAAACAAAAGCCCATATGTGGTCTGGAATCTTGGTGGTAGGTCAAAAAAAAACTAGAACAAGTTTCAAGAAGAGATTTTTTCCACTTGGTCTATCGCAAGCAATGCAAAGGAAACGCGGTAAATCACAATTGCAAAGACGTTTCAGGCACAGAAGGAAAATTTATTTGGACTAAGAAAAATATAGGAAAAAAGGGATCTGAGGGATCAAGGGATCTGAGGCCTCCGACCCTCAAAAATATATCAATGTCGGTTCTCGCCTTCTCTTGAATCTCACAATCCCAAGGCCCCTTAGTGGAGTGCTGCGCGCAAGGGAATTCGGAAGTTTACTGAGATTTAAAAATGAGGCGAGAAGAAAGTAGAGGTACTAACTTCTAAATCCTCAAATTAGCATCATTCACTGAATTAAAGGAAGTCCTCAAAGTTTTAAAAAACTTTACAGGCTGCACTAACTCTCCTTCAAGAATTCTTCTTTTCATCTTAACTTGAAAGTTAACGTATTTTATTTCAAAACTTAAAATGTCAGTTAAGTATGTAAGCAATATCTACATCAAGGATGTTCAAGCAGTCTAGCAAAAGGAGCTGACACCTGGCTTAGTGACTTAATGGCTTGTTTGTTAATTATTGGGAACAATTTGATGCCAAATCAAAATTGTTAATTTCAAAGCTGAAAAAAGGAAATTAGGGAAATACTGTCACAATGAAATATTGGAATTTTGTTGAAATTGGTGCACTGTTGTTTTTAAGGTGTTGCTCATTTCAGCTATTTCTAATATCATGAAATCACCCTGAAACCTAATTCCAGAACTGTTGGGTACCACATGAATCTGATCATTTTGACTATCTATAGAAATGATGGAGGTAGCTGGGAAGCAATAACATTTTTGTGATTCATTTTAGTTTTGTTCAGTTGCTGCTTTATTTTCCAGCACCTTAGTCTGTGACGAAGTTAAGCAAGGTAAACAAGTGCAAGTTGGGATTTAATCCATAGAGAGAATGTACATTGCCAACACTCTCCAACTGCAATATTGTGCTCCTCTGATCGAAAATTGATGGTTAATGTTGGTAAAAGCATGCACGCCTTCATTGCAACATTCACACATCTATGTTAATCTTTTAATCTTTCAGCCGATACATAACGGTACAAAATATTCTTTTGGAATTATTTCGTGAATATTTTTGAAAGAACATTGAAAATTCCAAGAAAAGCTGTTGGTTAGCTCACTTTTGAAAAAATATATAATGAATAGAGCGTAGCAATGTTACAGTCGGAAATATACATTTTTTCTAACTTCAGCCATCAAATTGCACCTTTAAAGTGCCCTGAACTGTGTTTTTCTCTGCAACCAGCTCTGAGAATGGCACAGCCCTCTACTTTTTTCAAAATTGTTTCAAAGAGCACCGTTTGCTGCATTTGGTGATTGCATCAAGTGCATGTCAACACTCACCCTGAACAGTATAGGTTCTCTCAATTATCTGATACAATGTAACGGTTAGTGTTGTCAGACGAGGAAGATTTTGGACAGCTGAAACCACGGAAAAAAGACTAAGAAAATGACATTTTTGGCTCTGTAGCCAGAAATCACATGTCTGGCCCATTTTTCCCCCCAATCATATTATTTAGTCATTTCATTGGGAAAAAAAGGTACAAAAATCTAAGTACTCATTTGTGCAATATTTGCCCCCATAATCGTGTCGGATAATTGGACTGCATTTTGCAATTTGGAACTATAAATTCTAGCTCTTCTGGAAAAACATGTATGTGCGCAGGGAAACTAATGGCACATACGTTGTTTTTAAACTGGGCTTGAATGTATAGTTCCTAATTGCAAAATGATGTCCAATTGAGAGTCTAGGTACTGCATCACTCTAAAGCAGAAGCATAGAGTTCTAGAATAGTAAAATGTTGCGGTGATTTGATGGCACAACAGTCATTTGAAGATGGCGGATTTTTACAAGAAGTGTATCAAAATTTTTCGCAAGAATAGCTGATAATATCTCTCATAAAGCAATTCACTACACCTAACTGAGTGGGGGATAGAAATGACACTCCTAAAATTTACCTCGTGTATAGGGGGCCATTTCACTGAGCTCATAGGTGTAAAAGTTAACTTACCCATATTTTCAGTTCCTCTATTAACTGAAAGGAGCTAAATGATTTAAGCAACCTCCTAGAGACTGTTGAGCGTTAAGTGAAAAAATTTGACTTTCATGTACGTAACTGCAAGTCATCTAGTGATTCTCATGGAGTTGAAGAATGCCGACTGTTGGGCATCAGGAATTTTGTCTCTAATGAATCCTGAACAGTTTCCTTTGGCAACAATCCTAGTTTGATTTAATCCTTAATCAATGGATGTAACTGCTTTCTTTACTGCATCTCCCTTCTGCCTGTTTTCATGTTTTGACCTGCAGACTGTTTATCAACATAGTTTCCTTTGTCAACACATGAACTTCTAATATTTATTGTGATTTATGAACGTCTTTTTTATTTTTGCCACAGTTATTGCAGAAGCGGAGAAGCTTGCATTAGAAACAAAAGCAGCTGATGACAGAATACAAGGGCTTTTGAAATGGAAGGAAGAAAGAAAAAGAAAATTGGATGCTGAAAAAAATCAGAAGAAACCAGCTTTCAAAGTTGGAGTTGTCACTCATAACATAGGTTCTCCTTACTTCAAAGTTTACGATGACTCAAAGAAAACTCACAATCCTGTTAGAAAGCACCAATTTCAGGTATTCCATCTAATGATAATTCCTTGTGTTACTAAACTTAAATTAATACAGGATTATTTCTTCAGACTGAAACTTGAGAGTTTTGAAAATGTCTCACTTAATGACTCGTTGCATTCATTCTAGCATTATAATTGTACCTTTTAGGCACACTGTCCTCTATTGCTGTAATGATTCAACAATTAGTTCAGTCGTTAAATGCAGAGGTGTCAGAAGAAGTTTTCCTCCATTTATACCAAGAGCTACTTGTAAAGCCACGAAATGATCGTTTTCAGGGATTTTCAACCAAGAAACTTGTCAGCACATAACAGTGCACCTCTTGATGGCAATAGAGCATGCAGCTCACAGGATTCAGCCTGTACTATGGATAGCTGCAGCTCTGAAATTGAGAATAAAAAACCAAAGCCTCTCTAATTTCTCAATTCTAGAGCTGCAGCCGTAGTGGAGGTTAGATCCTGTTGGCCGCATGCTCTACTGCCAACAAGACTGCAATTTCTACACGTGCTGACAAGTTTGTAAAACTTGAATTTTTCTTATTCTTTGACCCGGTGCAAGCCTGTTCGCTTTGTGTTAGAAGTTTGTGCCGGCCCAGTATGTGTATGTGTAAGGGTGTGCCAGTATGTGTGTTTAATATTTTCAACACTCAGTCACCTTGAAAACAGGGACGAGAGTTTTTTTCTAATAAGAGGAAAGAAAGGTATGTAAGAGTCTGAGAATATTAAAAACAATGAAAGTTTGAAAAATGATATAAACCAGCGAAATGTAATCAGGAAAACACAGAATTTTTCTAGAAGAGAAAACGATTAAAATCTGATTTTCATCTCCGGTATTTTTTTTTTTACTAAAATTGAGGATTCTGAAGGACTTCTTGCATATGTGAGCTAAAATCTTCTCCATTGATTGTTTTATTTGTTTGTTTCGTCCCCAGTTTCGGTCACTGAACGCCAAAGTGATGCGGCCTTTAACTATTCCAGTCCCTCCCAAATTTGCAGAGCTGAAGACGCATCATTGCAAAACACATAATTCTTCTGTGAACAAACGAGTGTAAGCAACATTACAACTATTATAAATGTATTCATCATGCTAGTGGCGCAGAGTAGCTTCAGCCGCTGTTTCTGTTCAGGAAGCTCATAGATTTTAGGGCTTTACTTTGGTTTCAAAAGAAAATGACCAAGGATCCATGACAAAGAGGGAGGAAAAAGTGTTCGTCTGTCTGCCTTTACCTTTGAGTTGATAAGCCTTCATCAGTTTCAAATTTCAAGTTCTCAATCTTACTTATCTCATCTAAAACCCAAAACGCAAGGTTGATTAAAAGGAGCTTGGTACATCTAGCCATATTGGTGACGTACTAGTGGGACCTCGATTTGGCGCGCAGTTCAAACTGCTTGTTATGATATGCTATTTGTGGTGTTCCAGAGCATCCGTCCACAACCATTTTCTCGGTAACGGCCGAGAATTGAGCTTCGGGACGAAAATTTTCAAGTGTCAATCAACCCCACAAAATGCAATGAAAATACTTTCAGCCCCCCGAAACTCCATTTTGGGATGATTTTAAGATGGATACCGTAGGGTGCAGCTTATTTTCGTCATGTCGGAAAATCGACGAGGTCCGGGTGGCAATCGGTGCTATCTATGAAAAAATAGTGTATTTTTCCTTCGGAAAATACACTTTGAAGCTTTTTTAGCTGATGCTGAAAGGGATCAAAACTACGGGGCAAAATTACATTGGTTTAAATGGGCGGAAAAACGCCTGATCTACGAAAATGCGTTTTTCGGATCTAAAATGCTTAAATGAAGAAAACCTGACCAGCTCTCAGAGAGGCATCTAGGAGCCCATTCAGAGGACCCATGGGTGAGGGTAGGGGGGATTACCTGCGTGCAAGATAAAATATACACCAATTTCGTTCCAGGCTCGAGGAATAGTACGGGAGGCAACATTGTAAAGGGCCAAGTATAGTTCTCAAGGGCTAAAACAACTATTATACATTATTTCTCATCAAGTTGTGAGATACAATTGCCTCTTTAACTTCGGAACACTTACTTATTTTGAGTTTGATCAGATAGTCTCAAATGCGATCACTTCGCTGAGGGCGCGGCGCCTCAAAACCGGCAACGCCGTGACCCTCCTGTTCCCACCCATAGGTCTAAAGTGTGATTTTCTCGTTTCAAATGGGCTCCTAGATGCCTCTCTAAGAGCTGGTCAGGTTTTCTTCATTTAAGCATATTTTAGATCCAAAAAACGCATTTTCGCAGATCAGGCGTTTTCCGCCCATTTAAACCAATGTAATTTTGCCCCTTAGTTTTGATCCGTTTGAGCATCAGCTAAAAAAGCTTCAAATTGGCTCAAATTTAATACAGCCTGATATTTTCATAGATAACACCGATTGCCACCCGGACATCGTCGATTTTCCGACATGACAAAAATAAGCCGCACCCCCCCCCCCTTTTTTGCATATTTCAAATAGGTAGAGTATGTTTTGACTTCGAAATCAAAGTTTATGGCCAAAAACAAGAAATTTTTGTTCTATACTTTTTCCCCCTCAAACCTCCAATTTATGGAGTTACAAGGCATTTTACTGCATTTTTGGAGCTAAGGGTATCCTTGGGTAAAGGCACCAAAATGCCCCTCCTCCCGGATTTTGAATTTAATGGTCTAAACCCTTTCAGGAGGTCCTAAAAACATGATTTTGGGCAATTTTTACCTCCTGACCCCAACCGCCGCCCCCCCCCCCCCCAGCCCTGAAAAACACATTTTTCGGGGAATTTGGGGGTATTTTCACGTTTTATTTCATATCCCACGAGTTTTTCGATGGAAATTCACCTATTACACATAAGACCAATCAGATTCTTATCACACCATATTTAGACCGCTGAAAGAATTCGTAAAAATTGTAAATTTCCAATTTTTCCAGATTTTAGGGATCTTAAAAAAAATTAGAACGCATAAATTTTTTGTTTTTGCCTTAAAATGAAGGTAATATACCCAGTTGTTCCCCCCAAAAAAAATTCAAGCATTTAAGTATGGTGGCTCCCACTGAAAAAATGGTTTTTTTGGCGCCAAAACTGTCAAAATGGCTATTTTGGCAACGGTTTACTCGCACGCTATCAAGATAAAAACAATAAAATCACTAATTTTGGTTCCAATGTTTCAAGAAGCGTGCCCTAGTATCATCAGAAAAGGTTTCAAGTCAATCGAGTCTTTGCGCTCATCGTAATTACCGGTTTTTGGCGCCAAAATGGTGAACATTGCTATTTCAGAAGAGGTTACTCGCGCAGGGTAGCCCTTATTTCTGACTTAACGGAAATTTAGAGTGCGGGACCCTGCAAATGGTTCCATTTGATGGGAAAATATCAGGGAAAAAATGAAAATGGGGAAAAAATATTTTGAAACGCGCCTCAAAGAGCCTAAAGTAGCGAGCAGCATGCGAGCGTGGCGCGCGAACACGCGTTTTTCCGTTATTTCGAGAATTTTTTCCCTCCCTTCAAAATGTTGCTACGGCTTTGAAATTTTTGGAGGCAACACACTTTTTAGAGTACTTTAGGAGAAAAATAATGAAATTTATCTCGCCTATTTTAAAATGCCCTTTTTTCCACTTCAAAGAGGCCACATCGTGCGATTTTGTCGATGATTGTTCATAACATTCTTCCGGCACGGTTTACCTGAAGGAGTTAAAATTTTTTGAAAAGTCAAAAGCAAAAATTCTTCAGATTCTGGAAGTAGAGTGTCTACCAAAAAGAAAAAAATTCTGTTCAGCTGCTGGAAAACAAGTCGATTTAAAGGTATTTCAGGGTTAACATGCAAATTACCGGTATAAAGGGAAAATCAGCAAAATCGCACGATGTGGCCTCTTTGAAGTGGAAAAAAGAGCATTATAAAATAGGCGAGATTCAAAATGTTGCTATGGCTTTGAAATTTTTGGAGGCAACACACTTTTTAGAGTACTTTAGGAGAAAAATATTGAAATTTATCTCGCCTATTTTATAATGCTCTTTTTTCCACTTCAAAGAGGCCACATCGTGCGATTTTGCTGATTTTCCCTTTATACCGGTAATTTGGTTACATTTTAAAGCAAAAACAAAAAATTTATGCGTTCTAATTTTTTTTAAGATCGCTAAAATCTGGAAAAATTGGAAATTTATGATTTTTACGAATTCTTTTAGCGGTCTAAATATGGTGCGATAAATTTGATTTTTTTTTACCCAAGAATCTGATTGGTCTGATGTGTATTTGGTGAATTTTCATCGAAAAACTCGTGAGATATGAAATAAAACGTGAAAATACCCCCAAATTCCCCAAAAAATGTGTTTTTCGGGGCTGGGGGGAGGGCGGTTGGGGTCAGGAGGTAAAAATTACCCAAAATCATGTTTTTAGGACCTCCTGAAAGGGTTTAGACAATTAAATTCAAAATCCGGGAGGAGGGGCTTTTTGTAGGGGTCCAAATTATTCGATTTTCAACATCTAAAAGCATACTAAGAGAAGAGATCTACACCTTTTTGTTGATGTGCCACGTGACTCCTGTTGACCCATAATTATGGGGATAATGACTCCCCAAAAATGTTGAGGCTTTTTAAGATGCAATTTAAAATCTTGTGGTACCTAATAATAAAACACTTAAAAAAATTGTTTAATATGGGTGTAATTTTTTCTACTTTGTTACAATAAACAATGGGTAAGAAAGAAATTGTCATTAATCATCAGTCTGCTTGAGCGCAACTCGCACCGTACGCGTCAATTCAAACTCTGCGCTACTCAAGGTCCCACTAGTACGCCATCAACATGGCGCCGAAATGGGTGATTGTACCAACCTCCTTTTAATCAACCTTCCCCGAAAAGAGGCAACAACTGTTGACCAGTTCAGCATCCTGTTCGTTTGAGTTTGATGAAATTTAGCTCGAATGTGCAGTAAGCTCATAGTCTTTCCTAAATTACATTGGCTCTCCACTATTTTTCCCTAAAATATGCTTACTTTCCCCTGGAAGATTTTATAAAGAGTCGGCAGTTGTTCCTTCTTAAGTCTTCAGAGGAAAAGTAATCAGGATACTTGGTAAATATGGCGAAAAGCCAATTTAATTGGAGGGGGGGGGGTAGTTTATTCTGCTACACCTTTGAGCCTAAGATCATGGAAATCATCCAATAGGTCTTATGCAAATTTCAGTTAGAGCAGAAAAAAGAGTTGTTTCTTGTTGATTATGGCTCAAAAATAACAATGATCGTATCAGGAAAGTCTGAAATAAACCCCTAACTTTCTTAATCTGTGTAAAAAGAATACGTTTTTTCAAGCTTCCCACTTCAAAAACAACACTGTGGCACAGGTGAACATTTCGTAAGCGGAGTAGTTCCATCCAACCCGTGCACATCAGGATGTTACAAATATTCAACATGGTCGACGCCAACCTGCGAAAAAACACGTAACCCGGTGGGATTTTATCAACCAGTGTGCTTGTATTAATATTTTCCTTGCACTGATAAAGACCATAAGAGTGCCTCCTCTCGATTCGCACAAGGAAGCGTCAGCCATGTTGAATATTGTGCAGCATCCTGGTGTACAAGGATTGGATGGAGCCGAACCTCTTACAAAACGTTTACCTCTGCTTTAGTATTGTTTTTGAAGCAGGAAGCTAAAAACACACATTTCTTAAGCAGATTGTGAAGTTACGAGTGTATCTCAGACTTTTGCGTCGTGCTCGTCATGCTTATTGAGCCATTTTCAGAAACAACTTTCTTCTTTGCTCTTGCTGAAGTTTGCAAAGAGCCCATAGGATGCCAAAGAAGCTAATTTTCCCGCTATCCCTCAGAGCTTGGCAACCAAGATGAAGAAAGTTTAAAAACCAATGTGACATTGCATTGCAAGAAAAAACATGTTTTTTTAACCTGATAACAACTTTTTATTGACAGAAGGAAATGTTGATAGAACAGGGTGTCTAGCAGCAGGAAAAACCGAAAAATATCAGGAATTTTGGCCGATCAGGAAAACGGAATAATCGGACGTTTTATCAGGAATTTTTTTTACGCGAATCTCCTCAGCGGAGAAATCTTACTGCTTTTTACCTACCGTGCCAGGAGTCGTCGTGCCGTTCTTTGTCGCCGATAATTTCTCACCCATAGCGCTTGTGTCGTATAGTGAAGGCCTCATCGCAGTGTCGCCGTCTTTGCGAAATTAAAATTTTCTGTCCATCTTCTGCGCCTGTATTTTATTTGAAATAGTTAAAATCCTTTTTTTTTTTTTTAATGTGGCCCTTACTCCGGCAAATCTTTATTTTTATCAAAGTTTTGAAGTTATTTTCAATTTGTTTCCATTTTGTGGGACATACTTGCAAGGACACCACATAATTGAATCTATTGACAGTTGGCAGACTTGTTTCTTATCATAAGAACTTCATCAGAAAATTTAGTTTCCGCATGCATTTATGCAATAAATATAGTTTTTACGAGAAAAACCAGGAAAATATCAGGAATTTTCAAAATGAAAAAATCAGGAATTTTCAAAATGAAAAAATCAGGAATTTTCAAAATGAAAAAATCAGGAATTTTCAAAATGAAAAAATCAGGAATTTTCAAAATGAAAAAATCAGGAATTTTTTTAATAAAATATCAGGAAAAATCAGGATTTTTCAAAATTAAAAAATACTAAACACCCTGTTAAAAGACAGAATGAACAACTCTCCTTGTTGAAGTCAATTTCACCATTATGAGAACTCCTGCATCATTGAAATCTTGATAAAGATTCTAATGAAATCACTCTACCTTCTTATTCATGGAAAATCCTTCTTGGCCAAAGAAAGTCAGTGATTTTTGAAAAAGATAAATGTAAAGATGTTGCTGACTGAAGACAATGTTGATAGATCAGTTCAACCATGTCGACAAATTTGGAATATTTTTCCTTTTTTTTAATGGAAATGTCAGGAAATTATTTTTTCTGTCTGTCAGAGAATTAAAAATTTTCCCCCCGTTTTTCGGCCGTTTTTGTCAGGGAATTTGAGTTTTGAAAATTGCTAGACACCCTGTATGAGAACCCCCCTCCATCATTGAAATATTGACAGAGATTCAAATAAATCATCACTGTACCTTCTCATCTCATGGAAAATCTTTTTTGGCCAAATACCAAAAGATTTTCCTGACAGAGGACAATGTTTGATAGAACGACCGAATGACTAACTCTCTGGCTGAAGTCAATCTCACCAGTATAAGAATCCCTGCATCATTGAACTCTTGGTAGAGATTCGAATGAAATCACAACTCTACCTTCTCATCTCTTGGAAAATCCTTCTTGGCTAATGAAAGTCAGTGATTTTTTAAGGAGATAAATGTAAAGATGTTTCTCATCAAGATTATGATTATAAAGGAACAGTTTAAGAGTCTGTAATGAATAGGCTCAAAACCCAATCAAAAAGTTTCCTGACTCAAGAGCATTTCAGCCTCCTCTTTGGCCAACTTAAGTGAATCTTGGACATAAATTAAAGTTGAGTATATGCCCAATCTGCCTTTAATTGCATTTTTTCCACCTCCAATAGTTTTTGAATGAGAGCATGGTCTGATGGACCCCTGTTCTGTATTCATGATTTCTTCATCTGTATTTTCCATTATTTCAGGCTCCGCTCAAATACAATAAAGGAGAATGTAATGCCCGTCGTTGAGGAGACTGTAAAAGTGTTGCGCACAAAAAAAGTGGACCCAAATCAAGTGCGAGACCTAAAAATGAAAACTGATAAAATTTTGACCGGCAAAAAGAAGACACCTTCACCAGGATCAGCAAATGTTTTAAATGATATTGGCAATGTCTCACAACCTCAACCTCCAGCCAAAGACTTAATTTTTAGTCCAATTAGTCCGAATGTTTGCCTTACAAGGGGTAAGAGGCGGCCATCAACGAGAAGCTCAGATGGTAAGTTTATCTGTAACTCCATTTTCATACTTTTTTGCACTGAGGTAAACAATAATTCTGGGGCCTACCACTAATGATACAAGGTAAACTTTCTACCTGTTTGATCCACTCTCCCAAAATCAGACACCTCTAGTTACAAAATCTTTAAGAGGCAGAAATTGAAGGAGTTAACCAATCAGCACAACATTTTCTGAGCTGTTCCTTCGGATCAGAAGGTTTTTTTTTTACTGTTGCATGCTGAAATTTACTATAAACGATAAATTTACAGCCGAAAATCGGGAATAATCACTGTTTTTTGTTCAAGATGAGAAAACATAGAATCACGTAAACTGTGCGATCTGCACCTGCGCCGTGAAAACGGAATGTGGTGGAACTCCATGCAGGGTTGCCCCAGTCAGGGAAAACCGGGAAATGTCAGGGAATTTTAAAAAGTCAGGGAAAATTTTTTAAAACACCTTCATTTGCTTTCTAGAATGGGTTTGAGGTTTCGAACAACAAAGGAGGGGTTGCGATTTGGGCCAAAATCGGCCCCTCCACGGAATTGAGAAATTTTTGGATAGGGTCAGTGGACCCCCTATGGACACGGGACCCCCTATGGACCCTTAGTAGTTTTAGGTTAAAAAACAAGGTGACAACATAATCAATCATGAAATGAAAATTTTCTCATCATTCAGCTGATCCCAGAGAACAGCTGACGCGATTTTCAGGTTGTTTGGTGAACTTCGGTGGTGTTGGCGCAAAGTGTCCATAGGGGGTGAATTTCAAGTTAATTTGGAAATTGTTGCATTATAAAAAACCTAATTGACCAAATTCAAATCAGGCGAATGGGATGTTATTTACATGCATTCTTAAAGATAAAATTGGCTATTCAAAGTCATCTGCAATTAAACCATCCAGTAAATGATTTTTTTCCTCTAAAAAAGTGCTTAAAGGGTCCATAGGGGGTCCACTGACCCTATATGGCAGTTGACGGTGCATATTTGACAGAAATAATAGAGTTTTGCCGATACTCACGTTTTTCGGCTGCGAAATAGGGGCCTAAACATGGCTCCAAAGGCGAAAATAGCTGAATATTCGCGTTTTTCGCGGTTCTACCTCAGATTTGGACCTGGGCCCAAAGGCAACGGGTGATGAGCTTCGAATATGGTGTCAAGGACACCTAGACACGTAACATACTTGAATATGATCAACCGTCGCCTTTGGGCCCAACTTCAAAATCGAACTTCTTCAACTTTTTAGCCTGAAGTAGCTGAAAATCCATGTTTTCTACGGTTCTACGTCAGATTTGGACCTGGGCCCAAAGGCGACGGTTAATCATATTCAAGTATGTTACGTGTCTATGTGTCCTTGACACCATATTTGAAGCTCATCACCCGTCGCATTTGGGCCCAGGTCCAAATCTGAGGTAGAACCGCGAAACACGCGAAATTTCAGCTATTTTCGCCTTCAGAGCCATGTTTAGGCCCCTGTTTCGCAGTCAAAATACGTGAAAATTGGCGAAACTCGATTATTTCTGTCAAATATGCATCGTCTACTGCCATATATCCAAAAATTTCTCAATTCTGTGGAGAGCCCGATTTTGGCCCAAATCGCAACCCCTCCTTTTGCCTGAAAACTATTTTCAACTATGCCTTCTTAACCATCCGTCACATTTTCAATTGTCAGAGAATTCTACCAAAATGTGTCACGGAATTTTATTTTCTTTATTCTGTGGCAACCCTGTCTATGATGGGCAGGCGGGGAGAGGGAGAGAGCAGTGTATCCCAATCTAGGGTGTGGCTTATTTTGGGAAAGTCGAGTGATTCGCAATCAATTCTCCATTGCTTCTCTGTAGTGCCCTCCAGTGTGTGAGATAGGATCAGGACCTTATTTGGGGAAAGTCCAAAATGTTATGACGGCACGTCTTCAATTGGATCCATCTCATGAAAAAACATACTTACCAAAAAAAATTCCAGCTCGACATTCAAAAATCCAGAAGTCGCTCGAAGGCCTCAAAGTTTACGATGTTGGAGCAGTTAAGTTGGATGAAGAACAGTTCAAACTTTTTTTCTTGAAATCGTATGGTTAAATGGAGGAGTTTGCATAGAATCAGGGTAAATGAATTAGACTTTCTAAAATGGCTCTAGTGTTCTATTTTTCTATTAGAAAGCTATGGAATATTCTGATTTGAAATATTGTGAATATCTCCTTTAAAGGTTAGTGAACAGTTGCAGAAAGCTTTGGTACGATTTCTTTCCTAATTTTCTGTGGTGAACATGAAACAAGAGAGCCAATTAGGCAAGTTGAAAGGCAGTTGGGCTGATTATGGTTGAATTCGTCCACACAAGAAACATCAAATAGACAGTGTCAATGGACAATTTTAAATGCTCAAAATCAAAATTTAAAAGAAAACAAAATATATATATCAGCATTAAAATTGTTTAAACTTCGATGGGAAAAGATTATTCTATGGATAATAGAAGCATTATGTGGAAAGAGAAATGTGATAATTTCAAATACATAAGCTTCTGGCTAATTTTGGTGGCAGCAGGAGGTGCGGTTGCTACAGCCAGAGGTATGGTTCATTCAACCACATTTCTGGCAGGTGAAACTATACTTTTGGTTTCTGCGCCAAAATTAGCCAAAAATATAGCTTCAATTTTTATACTTTGTTCGGCGCACTCAAAACGATATTCTTCCTCTTCAAAATAAATGTAAAACTGCATAACAAACCCTTACATCTTGGGTCAGGAAAGATATTTGATTTAGATACATTTCAGAATTCATCTTGGATCACACTGCCCATCGCATGTGCTAAATGAAGTGTACTGCCTTGTAAGCCTTGCACATTTGCAGTTGTTTCATCATTATTTTACAATATCTTGGCGCTATGTTTGAGGAAAAGTACCACCTTATAAATTGAAATATGTTACTCCATATGCTATTTTTGCATTACATATTTTATACGTATGAACAAATTCATGTATACTTAGGTCTAATTTCACTATCCTGGCGGTAACTTTCCTGAGAAAATCTGAGAACCATTAAGAAATGGGGTCGGTCAGCTGGAGTTGAGTAAATGGTCTGCTATTTCGAAAATGGCAGTTAATTCCATAGGTAAAGGGCCGGTGGAACTAGGGTCTCGACTTTTTTGTATTTCCAACTTATTTGTGGGTGTACCTGCCAAAATTCACGCGCCTAGCTGCAAATTGTCTTAATGGATCTTTGCTTTAAAATATATGAAAAGAAAAATAATTTTGAAACTTCATGGTTACAGCCAAAAAACTTATTTTTAAGCAACGATTCAAGATTACATTGTTCTCTAACTTTCTCTCTTTTTCAGGAGAAACTGATGATTCTGAAAAGAAACAGAAGAAGAAACTAGAGCGTGCCAGAAATCGGATTGCTCTCTCACATCTGTAAGCATTATCTAGTTCCCAAAACATTCAAACTTTACAAGATGCACTTATCAACCTGCGTAAAAATGCAGAAAAGTAAACAAATTAAACTTGAGTAATGCGTTGAACCTTAAGCAGTAATTGTAATGGAAATGGGGTTGTTGCATTAGGGTGGCCCAAATTTGGCAATGTTGAAATTTTTTTGGTCTTACCCCCTAGAACTGTTCCATTTTATCAAAAAACACTCTCTGCCAAGTTTCAGCCAAATCGGATAATATTAACCCGTGCCGACAGGGCCATCTTTTTTAAATGGGATTTTACATTGAAAAACACTTTTTTCCAGAAAAATCCATTTTTCGAAAAATGTGTAATTTCTAGAAAAAATCTGAGGTTATATTCGGCTTTAGCAGGAAAAATTGAGTAAGAAAACATGTATTGGACACTTCAAAAAAATTTTTTACCCCTCGTTAGAGCGGCAAAACAACTGAAACATCTAGAAACCGCTAAAAGAGGGTAAAATGACGGTGATAAATCCCAAATAATTACGTACGTCTGCATCCGAAAACGAAGCTCAACATATGGTAGGTGTTTCATTGGTACTTTTTTACGCTGAGTCCGAAAACGCTATCCATTTTCCTCTATTCCATCAGGATTTTCTGGAAAATCGATTTTCTTGGATAAAAAGAGGGTTTTCCGGGGAAAACTCAATTTTCAGGAAATAAACCTCAACATGTGACAGATGTATCTTATGTGTTTTTTAACGGTGAATTCGAAAATCATAACCGTTTCCCTCTATTCCACCAGGAGTTTTTGAGGGACTAAATTTTTCCCGTGAAAAAGGTAATTTTCCGAAATATTTAATAAACTGTCAAATTTACTCAATTTTGCTCACTTTTTCTCCACGTTCCATAAAAATACATACAACACTAATAGGCATAGGTTTTATTCAGGAGTAAACAATTTGTGTTCTTATGTTTTTTTGCAACTGAGTTAAGAAATGACCTTTTTTTATCCTCGAAATTCACAAGTTTTCCAGGGTACCGAGTTTTTCCTGGAAAATTACCTTTTTACAGGAAAAATTTTGTCTCTCAGAAACTCCTGGTGGAATAGAGGGAAACGGTTATGATTTTCGAATTCACCGTTAAAAAACACATAAGAAACATCTATTACAAGTCGATCGTTCATTTCCTAAAAATTAAGTTTTCCCCAGAAAACCCTCTTTTTATACAAGAAAATCGATTTTCAGGAAAATCTCGATGTAATGGAGCAACTTTGACATCATTTTCGGACTCAGCGTTGAAAAATACATAAGAAACATCCGTCACATGTTGAGGTTTATTTCCTGAAAATTGAGTTTTCCCCAGAAAACCCTCTTTTTATCCAAGAAAATCGATTTTCCAGAAAATCCTGATGGGATAGAGGAAAACGGATAGCGTTTTCGGACTCAGCGTAAAAAAGTACCTATGAAACACCTACCATATGTAGAGCTTCGTTTTCGGATGCAGACGTACGTAATTATTTGGGATTTATCACCGTCATTTTACCCACTTTTAGCGGTTTCTAGATGTTTCAGTTGTTTCGCCGCTCTAACGAGGGGTAAAAATTTTTTTTGAAGTGTCCAATACATGTTTTCCTACTCAATTTTTCCTGCTAAAGCCGAATATGACCTCAGATTTTTTCTAGAAATTATACATTTTTCGAAAAATGGATTTTTCTGGAAAAAAGTGTTTTTCAATGTAAAATCTCATATAAAAAAGATGGCTCTGTCGGCACGGGTTAATATTATCCGATTTGGCTGAAACTTGGCAGAGAGTGTTTTTTGATCAAATGGAACAGTTCTAGGGGGTAAGACCAAAAAAATTTGCAAAATAAATTTTCCTGTGTATAATTGGGCCACCCTATTGTTGCATGATTTTTTTTTTTTTTAATTCAGTTTCTACAAGTTGGAGGTCTGCTAATTGTGAAGGTATTTTTTTTAAAAAAATTCTGATATTTGGAACATTGAGAAAATGCCCCGAAAGTTCAGTAACGATTTGCAACGGGGCTTCTTCCTGTGCCACGTGACTTTGAAGTCACAACGCATGGCCAAAGGTTTTTGCTTTTTAAACTGCATGCTAATATGAGTTTTTTTTTTAAAAAAAAAAAAAAAATGAAAAAATCGAGTTATCGGACTAAACCGGCTTTTCTTATCTTGATGAATACCTGTAGATGAGGTGAATCACTTTCCAATTTAGTGTTTGTCTCTTTACAACGATTTTTAGGTCAAAAAGTGAGTTAAGAAGCACCCCTCTCCCGTTTTCTTCACGGAGCGAGGAAGCCGTTCGGCAGTGAGCGGAGGACGGTGCGCAGCAGCCGTCCCTGCTCGGGTTCTTCGAGTAGCGTCCACTCTCCATTGGAGCTCGCAATCAGCTTACTCGTGGTTGTTCTGAAGAGTTTAATGTGAAAAGTTTCCCATTTTTATTTCCATCTTCATAAGTCTTTGGGTACATAAACTGGTAATAATGTGAAGTGTCTTTTCTAACCTTTTTACTCAGCAGCAACTGCTGTTGAGAAATCAAAAGGAAGTGTGTATGTAGTGTGCGACCGGATTGTATGTCTAGCTGAAGGCGTTTCTCTGTTGAAATCAAATCTTTTCAAAGAGGAATAGCGTTGCACTGATGAAAATCAACGGAGTGTCTCAAAATTAGAGATACTTGACTTCAAGCATTATAATTTTATTATTAGCAAGTCTCTTTGATTCTGTGTCAGAAGTTGACTGAATTATCAAATTTGCTCGTGTTTTGATCAGATACGTCAAATCCAAGTCTTGAACATTGACCTGTGCAGAGGTTGATCTGTGCCATTTCATTAGTTTGAAGTAAAATGTATTGAATTATCTAATTAAATAAATCATAAAATTTACAACGAACATTGCATGGAATACTACCTACTATAGAGGTATGATTATGGATCGCTGTGGTGTTAGTTCACCACACCCTCTGCCAGGTTTGCTACAGTCATGTGGTAACGGTTTTTAACACAGGTTTAAGTTGGGAGTTGGGGGTCCTTATTTATTCTCTTGGTCCATGCCTCCATTGGATAAACACGCAGTCAAGATATGGGTAATGGCAGCAAGGCGAGATTCCCATGTGGTGTGACGCATAGTTTGACCAACTGTACTGCTCAGGGCCAGATTCACGTTTTTGGCGCCCTGTGCAGAAATTTTCGAGGCGCTCCCTTCGCACGTCGCCCCCCCCGCCCGCGCATTGCCCGACCCGACGGTCTTCTTTGGTTACTACGTGCTAACTCTAACTACATAAGAATTTTTCGAGTGAATGAATGATTCTGGGGCAGAAACCAAAATCAGGTACCTGTTCCTGTTACTGTTAACTACGAAACTCAGGGAAAGTTTGACCCTTAAAGTCTAGGGTCAGCAGCCTGATTGTTGAAATTTTTTGTTTGTCTGGTCAACATAGATGACATAGATTAAAAGGCGGAGCGTGATTGGTCGGCTATGTCTTATCGCTGCTTTGTCGTGCCTTTGTCGGGTGGGATGATCGACATACTGTCAGAAACTTAAGAGGTCCTGTTAGCTTGGCGAGAGGTCCCGTTAGCTTGTCGAGAGGTCAACCCGACATAGACACGACAAAGCAGCGATAAGACATAGCCGACCAATCACGCTCCGCCTTTTAACCTATGTCATCTTTGTCGTCCCAACAAACAAAAAATTTCAACAATCAGGCTGCTGGTCATGTAAAAGATGGAACGCAATAAATTAATGGTTCTATGATGTAATTTTGCAGAAGAAAATTCTGGTGGGACAAAAATAGGCATTTCATATGCATGCACAGGCACATATGGAGTAATAACATGCAATATTTACATTGTTAATGTTGTTTCTCTTCTTGTCTGCGTCTCCATTGCCTTTATACAATCAATCAACAATCAGAGTTTCTGAACTTTCGATGCAATTCTCAATTTTTTGCAGAGTTTGGAAAAAAAAAAACCCAAAATTTGGCGCCCCTCAAAATCTGGCGCCCTGTGCAGCTGCACCGATGCACCATAGGTAAATCCGGCCCTGGCTGCAGCTAATGAAAATCGTTTATTTCCAACTTGAATTTGATAGAACTTCAGCTTAGGGTGGCCGTTAAAAATAGCTTTTTCGAATTTTTAATGGGAGAACCCTGCAAAAGTTTCCTTTTAGTGTGTAAAGAAAGACCAAAAAAAGAAAATCGAAAAAAAAAAAAAATTTAACCGTGCCGCACGGCCGTTGTATGTGGTGCGCTTGCAAGTTCGATTTCCGCAAATCGCGCTTTTTGGCGTTTCGAAGTGTCTCCGAAGGCATAATGGAATTCATCTAGACATCTGAAAATATGGTAATTAACTCAACTCTTTGCGTACTTTCTAGTACTTAGTAGTACTTTTTATTAGTGTTGACAGAAATTTTTTAGAATTGTTCAAAGAGCGATTTTTTTGCTCTCAAAGTAGGGCAAAAAGACGATTTGCGAAAATTGAAATTCGCACATCGCGGTATATCACGTTATGGCGCATTGCTTACGCACGATAATTTTCATGCAGGGATCTGATAATATGGTTAGTAACTCAACTTTTTTCGTACTTTCACGTGGTGTTGACGGAATTTTCTTAGAATTTTTCGAAGTACGATTTTCTTTACCTTCAAACATGATATCTGGAAAATAATTATGTTAAGTCATAATCTTCGCTTTTTAAAACTTCACCCTGGCCTTGCAAAATTGGCTGCCATCTTGGATTTGGGGTACCCCCTTTGACGGAAGACTTTAATGACTTCATTTCTGAAACCCACGACCAAAATTACATAGAAATTGACACCTCACATGATACTGTATGCGTATTTTAAAAAAATTGAAATCCCAGAGGCTTTATTATGGCTGCTTTTCTTGAAATTCAGGCAATTTGGGAGGATGTTTCAGGATGGAACCGTGGTAAACTTTTGATTTGGTGTGTGTGTTGATTTTGATCTCAGTCGATAGCTTGTGAGATGATTTTCAAAATAAAACTAAAATTATATCTCTACCAAGATTAGTTTTTGAATTCCAGAACCAGTCTGGGTACTCTTTGGACAGCCTTTATGTTAAGTTTGTTCCAGAATTAATAAATTTATTTTAATTACAGTACTCGTTTGGATTTTGAAACTCAGCGCCTCCATGATTTTTGCGAGAAATGGAACAATATTGGAAAATCTGAATCGCCATCTGAAGAAATAGCCAGTGAAATCAATGCTTTGAGTGGGAAAACTAGGCTTTTAACAAGTGACAAATTTATGCAGTTCCGCAGATTAGTGGAACAGTTTGATACTGGCACTGCGAATCCACCAATCATGCCAGAGGATTTGACAGGATTTTGGGATATGGTATACCTCCAGGTATGTGTGTGTGTCATACGGAATGAATCATTAGAAATTGTTTTTAGGTTCTAAAACCTTCTATTGATTTTACCCATTGGATCTTTGAAGTTCAATTATTTAATCTAAATTCAATAAGTACTTGTGAAAAAGTTCATTTCTGCATAGGGATGCAGATACGTGTTAACTAGGAAGTTGTGGTTTTGTGGTCTGCAGCATGTAAAAATTAGAAAACTGTAAAAAATGGGCAACCCAGCTCTTGTTGAACTGAAAATTGCCTTTAATACCATAGGTTTTTCAGCAAATTGCGAAGATTGTAATGTGAAGAGGAAAAAATCGAGTGGGAAGTAACAATATTGCAGGTTGAAAGGACTCGCTCTTTTGTCTCTGAAGTTTCATTGTGATATCCCGAACCCTTTTCCTTAACTCTAGTCTGCCCAAAACTTTTTTATGCTAGAACACCCATAGTGAGTCCATTGAACCTGCGATTACATGGCCATGTTGCACAATTTTTTAACTGCTAGTATTAGACTCCTGATGTCACAGGAATTTCTAGGAGTTTTTTGACTGCCGGAAACACCCCAAAAAATCAACTTAAGTAGTCTCACAATTCAATTTTTCAAAACCATCACTCTAGAGCGGGATTTGATTCAGTGCACTTGCTACATCACGGTAAGTACATATCAAAACTAGGCTCTTCATCACTCACAATCTAAGTCTCCCCAAGGAGTCGGAAGTCGCTTTTCAAAGGCAAAAATTAAGATAACGGATGATTTATTGACAAAAATGGATTTCAGGAATGAAATTATTGGACGTTAAAATGTCTATAATCCTATTAATTACGAACCAACGGAATTAACCCTATTTCTAAGAGAAGCTGCTAGCGATGAGTGATTGTTTGGAATTTTTTCCTCTAACGTGCGCTAAAAATTCAGCATTAAGCTGAAAATTCTCACTACAGAGGGAAAAACTCCTTTGGAGTACTGGCTTCCCGCAAAGAGATATGCTGTTTGGCGCAACACTAGTTACGTCCATTCAGGAAGGCAACTGCAGACGCGTTTCGGCCTTGTTGGGCCAATCATCAGTGCAGTGTAGCCTCCTGAATCTCCTGCTACCAAGCTCGAAAGGTCGTGAAAACCAGCCCGAGACTTGGGCAAGCGGATGCCGGCGGCAAGTAAACTTGCGCCATCTAGTGAGCGATTATCCAAACAGCTCCGCACAAGCCTTGCCAGGCGATTTTTACACAAACTGATTGCGGTGGACGCACGGGTCGTTTAAAGGAGTTTTTCCCTCTGTAGTGAGAATTTTCAGCTTAATGCTGAGTTTTTAACGCACGTTAACGGAAAAAATTCCAACATACTAACGACCCGTGCGTCCACCGCAATCAGTTTGTGTAGTGATTGTTTAACTTGACATTGTCCCCCGTTTTATCAGAGGCTCACCAGGCGTAAAAAACCTTTCATCGTTGGTAGTTTTCCTTTCAAGTAGGGTCTTTGCCCTTCAGATTAAAATTATTGGATGAGGGTTTTAGGCATTTAAACGTCCACGGATTCTTTTTCCAAAATCCATTTTTGTTAATAAATCATTGATAATCTCCAAATTTAAATTTGAAAAGTGACTGTCAGAATCTTTTAGATGAGTGCGTAGTGAGTGATGAAGAGACCAGGTTGACATGTAATGCGACGCAAAGCTACCAAAATCGGATGTATTTTTGCGAAACGGAACTAAGCACCATAAGAGAAGAAGGGGAGTACTATGATGTTGAAATTTAGCCTAATGACTCTTCGTAGCTCCTAGTTACACCTCCTAGCGGAGGACTTGAATATTTTCCATCGTTGCCAAGTCACAGGAAAATTTCGTGTTTTTTTGGTCCCTCCTCGTATATTTCTGCTGAGTCTGTACAAAACTTGGTCCAGGGATTTAGAGCTAAGGTTTGTGGCAGCATCATTAACGGAGCGGCATCGGCGCGCAAGGCGGAGGTCCGGTGCGGACTTTCATGCCGCGTCGAACAGTACGCCGGGGATCGCATTTGCCCTTGAGGCGGCTTAGCCTGGTGAAGGGGACACCCGGCATGACTTTTTGATGCTGGGTGCAGCATCAAAATTGAGGCGGCTTCAATTAGCAGACACGTCGGACGCCAGCGTCCCGGGCCCGGCTGCCGGGCGGCCAATCGCAACGGGCTGTGTTTTCAACCCTTCCGCGGCGTCCACTTCTTAGAACTTCCCGGCGAGGCGTGGGCCGCCGCGCCGATGGGAAACGTAGACAAAGGGGTGTTCCGCGAATTCATCGCCAAGTCCAAAGGTCATACAGGGTGTACCAAAAGTCCGTCCCACCCCTGCTAACTTTTGAACGAATTGAGCTAGGGTAATGAAACTTTGGGAATCTTCCTATCTCAATGGGGACCATCTTTTACGGGGGGTTAAAATTTTGGTCCCCCCTCAGGGGGGGCGCGGGGGGCCCCCAACTTTTCTTTTCAAATGGCAACCCCTATCCTATGATACATCATTCGAAAGAGCATAAAAAACTAAGAATTTTGGCGCAAACCGCAGATCAATATCTTAATTTTTGACCGAGTTATGATAGGTCAAAGGTCAAATTTGACCTATTTTCAAAAAATCATAACTCCGGTTCAAATTATCGTAAAGAAAAAAATAAAACGGGAAAATCTACCAAATTGTGTCCGATTTTAAGTAAAAATTGCAGAAATCACTTCACTGTAATTTTAAGGGGGGGCTCGGACCCCCAAATACGTCAATTCAAAGGTCATTCAATTTTCCCGCGAAAAAAGGCAATTTCCCCTAGATTTGCCTCCACATTATCTCAGTAAGGTCAAAATTAGTTCAACATTACGTTGGCAAGTCCCCAAATTTCGGGAAAAGTTAAAAAAAAAAACGAAATTTAAGGTGATTAAATTTGACCGTTTAAATTTCGTTTTTTTTTAACTTTTCCCGAAATTTGGGGACTTGCAAACGTAATGTTGAACTAATTTTGACCTTACTGAGATAATGTGGAGGCAAATCTAGGGGAAATTGCCTTTTTTCGCGGGAAAATTGAATGACCTTTGAATTGACGTATTTGGGGGTCTGAGCCCCCCCTTAAAATTACAGCGAAGTGATTTCTGCAATTTTTACTTAAAATCGGACACAATTTGGTAGATTTTCCCGTTTTATTTTTTTCTTTACGATAATTTGAACCGGAGTTATGATTTTTTGAAAATAGGTCAAATTTGACCTTTGACCTATCATAACTCGGTCAAAAATTAAGATATTGATCTGCGGTTTGCGCCAAAATTCTTAGTTTTTTATGCTCTTTCGAATTATGTATCACAAAATAGAGGTTGCCATTTGAAAAAAAAAAGTTGGGGGCCCCCCGCGCCCCCCCCTGAGGGGAGACCAAAATTTTGACCCCCCCAAAAGATGGTCCCCATTGAGATAGAAAGATTCCCAAAGTTTCATTACCCTAGCTCAATTCGTTCAAAAGTTAGCAGGGGTGGGACGGACTTTTGGTACACCCTGTTTACCCCGGCAGTCTTCTGGGTCAGCCCTGTTGGTAATTAAGCTGCTTCGCAGGACCGAAAATTGATGCCGTATTGGGCCGCAAGCCGAGGGTCCGGCCTCAAAAGTTGAAGCCCATGTTGGTCCCTAAGCCAGCATCAAACCTCAGCATCAGCGCTTAATGCCGGCTCGGTTGGCTCGGTTGGCATTGGGCTTCAATGCCCAAAGCCGGCGCCGGCAGGTTGCGCCCATTAGGCGCAGCGCCGCATGCCTGCACGGCCGCTACCTGGGCACACGGCATTAATGCCGAGGCTACGAGTCGATGCTGTACGGCTTAACCTCATGAGGCGCCTCAAATGCCTGACCTGGTCTATCAAAATTTAATTTTCAGGGATTTTCTACTTACCTTTAAAGTCATCGAGATTGTGGCTTTAAATGTTTTGTTCCTTCTTTTTTCTCATTTTAATCTGAAATCACAGGAAGAGGTATAACGTTGATAGACCTAAGATATTTTCATATTATTCATTTATGTCTCAAACCAAATCTTTGAAATTTTTTCTTAAAAGCTTTTTATAAAAAGTTTCTTAAATACTTAGGGCAACTTGGGACTTACAATACATGCTGACGATTCCTTGGCTTCATGAGTCATTTTCAGCCATTTTTGATGAATTTCTGTAACGTTAAAACTTAAAAATGTGTTATTCAAATCCTTTGATACAACTTTTGTAAGATACCCCTCAGTAATGAAGTACCTAAATTTTGTAAATGGTTTCCTGAGAAGTCGCATTTGCCAGCCAACTTTTGTTGTCCATTTTTAAAATAAAAGGAATCATCATTATTATTTCCTGTATCGATTCAAAATCTTTCGAATAAAGGAGCGCTTTCGGAAAGGCTCGTTGCAGACGGGCCAATACCATGTCCGCAAAGAGAAAGGATTAAAGAGGAGAGAATTATATGAGGGGGGTAATTAAGGAGTGGGAAAAGAAAGAAGAAATAAATAAATAGTTGAAGAATTTAAGATTTGTAAAATTTTAATCTAAGATCTTTTAAGAGAAGTTAATGGGACAAATACTTAAAGAGAGCACACAAAAAGAAATGAATGAAATGAATATATTGAAAAAATTATGCTATTCAAATACAAATAAATGCTGTGTACAAATCAAGGGTATAAGTTGAGCATACAATAGGAAACAAACTGATGAAAAACATGAGAACCCTGTAGATAAAATGTGTTTTAATTTGCAGCAAAAATGGAAATTTGAGGCAAATTTCTGACTTAGACCGATTGCACATTTCCGTTTGATTTTCAGTATATCAATGCTCAAACTCCCAAACCACATAGGTATTCCTGTGTTTTAAAATCTCCGATTTTTTTAAGGAAAAAATCAACACCATTTCTTGAAGTTGTCGCCAAATTTTTGTCGCACAAAGACGAAAGAATTTTTGGCAGTTTTTAGAGTTGCCGACGAATAGTTTTTTATGTAAACAATAAATATTGACAGGAATTCTGCAATGTCACGAACTCAGACATGTTGTTTGGGAATTTCACCAGCGATACAGACATCATTATTCATAATTCATTGGATTTAGTATTGATATTGTGGGAAAGGGGTAAAGAAGGAGGCAAATCCCACAGAGTGGGTGGAGAAAAAATTATGAAAACGTGTGAAAGCAATATTTTCAAGGAAGAAACTGTCGCGGCTAGGGTGGACAATTAACTGAGGTGAATGGTCATCGAGCGATGCTAATCAAGGAAGTGACAAGACGATGAAACTCTAACTGATGGAGCTGATTCATCAATTTCACCCTCATCTCATGTCAACGAACTGTACTCAGCTGGTAGTGAATTCAGACAAGCTGGTGCAGCCCATAGAAAATGAAGGAAACAAGGGACGGATAAGGAGGATGAAACAACGTAGACCGTTATGCAGGGTGCGTAGCGCGGCGCGGCGCCCGACCACTGAGCGGCGAGAGGGCATTAGGAGGGAATTAACTGGCGTACAGCAATTTCCTCCTAAGATCGGATATGAATATGAGTGTGTTTGGCATCGCATCTTCGAACGTTATCGAATCGGATAGCTAATCGATCGAGTTCTAAAATAGGTATCAATTTGGGCAAATCCGCCTCAAGTATCGAGAATTCGGAGCGGGCGGCGGACAAAGGGGTTTGGGTTCGCGGAAGGCGAACGAATTCAAAAGTAAGACCTTTCTACTCGCGAGCGACGAGGTGATGCCAATAAAATCCTGAAAATCGGAGTTGGCTCTTGAGAACCCTCTCGACCCTTGTTCTAGAAGCCAACTTGCAATGAGAGGAGGGGGGGGAGTCAGATTTCTGGTTCTCTTTAAGACAAAAAATTATAACCACTCTAATGCTCCGGAATAATATTTCTCTTAACTAAATGTAAAATACGAACATTGTTGCAGGTCAACCTAAATTGCTTTCATTAAGTAGAAAGGACCTTGCATACCTCTTATGGGAAGATGCACCATGAAGAAACCTTAATTTTTTTACGGCATTCGATTCTCCTCAAGATGCTGATCAAAAGTTATCATTGCGCCAACTTTCTACGATGCACCGTTTTCGTAAAAAATGGCCGAGAAGATTCTATTATTCGACTACAATGCATGAAAAAGAACAAATCATTCGATTTAGAGACATGGGGAAGAGGTGAATACAGCGGGAGGGAGAGAGAAACTGATTTTGATGGTCGAGCAAAACGGCGAGCGGAATCCGAGATAAGACTGCTGCTCGGTGCGGGAATTCACCTGATTTCCTTGTTGACACACAGACGACCGTCCACTCAAGTGCTGAAATGAGGAATCTTTCTGGCTTTTCATCGCCGAATAATTAAATCTTCTCGGCCGTTTGTTGTGAAAACGGTGCATCGTAGAAAGTTGGCACAATGATAGCTTTAGATCAGCATCTTGAGGAGAATCAAATGCCATAACAAAATTAAGGTTTCTTCATGGTGCACCTTCCCAAAAGAGATGTGCGGGGTCCTTTTTGTCCAAAGGTAAGATGCTCAAAAGACTAGTTTTTAATCATTCATGCTCCCTCTCCCTTTGTACCCCGTAACAGCGCTTAAAAATTGTTAAATTTTTTGCTTCCAAGACTGTATAAACCATACTCTCTCTGCTGAAACATTAATTGTATTCCCTTCAAGTGGATCATTTTTAAATTTGGTAATGCCACAGGTTGAGGATTTGGAGAAGAAATTCAATAATCTGGAGAAACTTAGGAGTAACAAATGGAAATCTGCAGCAGTGGATAACCCCGTATGTCAAGTGAGGAAAAGTGCTCGACCACCATGCAAAATTGTTAAAAAAGCTGCTGCTTCCTCTACTCTGAAAAAGTTTATTGCAGGTATGCGTAGTTGCTAGGTTGAATTAGCAGTTATGGTAGTTGTGATAGTTGTTGAAAATTGTCTGTCACCTTGGCCTAGCATATTTTTCAAAAACAAACAAGCTGGCAGGGCACAATCCCTCCAGGATTGAATTAGTTGGCGTTTATATATGGATTTCAGGCCTAACTTATATTTGAAATCAGTATCTTGGCTGGCAAAGGAAGTGATGATTTGCATTTTCACTAGTTCCTTCAGTCAGTTTGTCAGTTCAGCATGGTCACTCACCTCAGAAGTATGGGTCAGAGATTTTCACAGACTAGTTTGCCACTCTCTACCATCCTGTAACGTATTATTATTGTTTTTTTCCAAGGAAGTACATTATTTCAATATGATGCATCTGACAAAACTGGTGTTAACTTGTTTTTCTCGGGTAAATAGTTCCCTAACATCCTGGAAAGTTTCAGCGCATCAGGGCTCTGAAAAAAAGCCACAACTTTTAGGCTTTGCTTCTTAATAACTTTGTCAGGCTACATCATACCCTATGAGCAACTTTCTTAATGGTCCCAATCTATATATAAACTGGTTTGCTTCACACAGTGGCCAGCTGCATAAAAACATCAAGTTCAAACTAGAACTACGTGACAAGAAGCTAAATTTCCCAGATTTATCTGTAACTGGTGCTATATCTTAAAACTTATGATGATGGAAAAAGAGAAGTGCACGAGAGTTGCGTGACATAACAACAGTGTATTGATACGAGGTACAAGGTTGCCCTGCAGGCTGTGATACCTAGTAGCGCCAATATGCACTACTGGATCCATGCTACCAACTGCTATATAATAACTGGTGTCAGTAATAAACTGAAATTTGGCATCTACTGAAAAAAAAGTTACACCGATGTGATAGTACTCAGTAACTCATACCATAGCAGAAATCACAAGATGTCTCCTTTTTCATTCAATGATGAATTGGCCCTCAAAATACCTCTCAAATGAAAAGAATACGACTAGGGACTAGATACAATCATAGCCATCGGCACTCACAATGATAAAAAAAAAGTGATATCCTAAAAATCCGTAACAAAAAACGTGACCAACTCTGCAACCAGTTCCTCTCCAAAGGTGCCTACCAACCCTCACAAAACCGCTGGGTCTCACTTCCATACATCGAATACCTGTCTGAGAAAGCCAAGCGTGTTATAGGTAGTGATAAAACCACAATGTAACCTTTTAAAACCTTTAAGCGGTCAACTGTAATCACTTTAAATTCAGTTTTTTTTAACTCTGCCGGAATTTTGGGGACTTAAGAATGCACGACAAGGTTGAAATAATTTTGAACTTATCAAGATAATGTTGGGGCAAAGTTCGGAAAAGTTGGCTCACTTTGCAGAAAAATTGTATGACTTTTAAACTGACGTATCTGGGAGTCCGAAGCCCCCCATAAAATTAGTTTGAAGTGATTCCTGTGATTTCCACCAAAAAGTACTTACAATTTGGCACGTTTCCCCGTTTAGTTTGTTTCTACGATAATTTGAACCGGAGTTATGACTTCTTGAAAATAAGTCAAGTTTGATCTTTGACCTGTTATAACTCTGTCATAAATGAAGATACTGCTTTGTGGTTTGCGCCAAAATGGTTAGTATTTAATGTTCTTACCAATGAAGTATCACAACGTAGGGGTCACCATTTGAAAAAAAAAGTTGGGAGCCCCACTGCCCCCCCTACCCCTATGAGACAGGCCAACATTTTGACCCCTCCAGAAGATGGTCCCCTTTGAGATAGAAACATTCCCAAAGTCTCGTTTTTTTTTATCTTGAACGGTTCCAAAGTTGGAGGTGGGGGACTTTTGGAACACCCTGTGTATTTAAGTATCACCACATGCTGCATTTTTTGTGTTGCACAATGCCTGGATTTTGCACTCATTGTGCACTGTAAAAATTTTGAAGAGGAAACCAAGTACCCGCCATCGAATTCATAGGTATCAAGTTTTGTGCACGTTGGAGCAAAGTCACTTTGAAAGCTTGAACTATTGGTGTATACCTTTCAACTTCAGAATGTAATGAATCCTGTCGAATGTTTTGTTAGTGCAGACACACTAAGCTCCAGGGCAGAATGTATGAACTGATTTTTCAGTCAATAAATGCTCAGAAACTGAGACATAATTTACTAGACTCTCAGACTTCAAAGGGGATTGGTCTCTAGCAAGTATTGATAACAGCGCAGTAGAAAATATGTAAAAAGGTCGAGGCAAATGAGTGTGCATATCACTGAATTTAACACTCAAGAAGGTCGAAAAAATCATAAAACATGTGCCCTGTGTCCATAAATATCCCTGTACCAGTGCAAAAGATTTTTGCAAATTCGTATGTGGCGAGAAAACGACATGAACAAATAAAGAATTGGCACAATTAGATTCAAAAGAAACTACTCAATTGACTTTATTAAATTTCTACTCAAATTTTTTCAAGAACCGGTCGCTTTGGGACTCAGATGCTCAATTTTAAAAAAAAAAAATTGCATTGAAATGTATGGTGTACAATATTTTCATCTTCTCTCGGTTCAAAAATCATTTTGGCTCTAGCATGAACATGTATTTTTCAGACGCACGGAAAAACAAAGAGCAGTCTACCTTACCAAAAGAAGAATTCAAAACCTTCGATGGCGGTCATTTTAAAATTGCCAGTCCTTTAATTCAAACACACGTACCACGAAGAAAGTCTGATGCCAATAATAGCTTACTGCGGCAAGTTATGTCATCTGGCTCCAAACGGATCACTCCAAAACTCTCAGTTAATGCATCACTGAATGCAGTGAGAAAATCAGTGTTAGCTCGAACTATCTCCTCATCACCAGCTATTGTTGTAAGTATTGAATGTATGTTAACAAAAATCCTTTCAAATATCTACAGTGCACAATCAAGAGAGTTTTTTCCTTCTCGTGTTTGCAGAGTGCTTAAAAATAATATTTATAAAGCAGCATTTCGTGAAAGTGAGCAAGCGTTTAGAATAAAGCTCAAAATTTACCAACGGAAGCGAAGAAAGCAGAGGTCCCTCCAGCTTTTCCTCCTCATATACAAACATAATTTGTGAACACAATATTTTCTGCTTCCACTTTGGTTGAAGCGCACTCTTTTGTAAATATCGTACAATTTTAGGGTGCAGCAAATAATAAACATTCTCAAAATTACATAACGTAAGGTGTAGAAAAGTTGCCTCTCGGTCTCTAAAATATGTTAATTTTTTCAAATTTTTATCTCACTCCTTTCAAATGGGGCATTTGCGATTTTCATTTGAGTCGTTGGTAATGGTGGAAATGACGCCTTTTAGCGCAAGATTTAGGCATGAAGATCTTTTAATGTAACGCATGAGCATGAAATCTATTCGATGCTAGACTAATTTTTAGCGAGAAATCCGAATCTGACCAAAAAAAGTACATTTGAAAGGATGGAACTCGAAAAATTCAAATTCTGATGAAAGGAGGGTTTCAATAAGGGCCGTTTTTGGACTCATCACCTTGAAATTCCTCAACTTAGCAACTTTTTTCTCATTGAAGGTGTATACTTTACAGACTAATCACGGTTTGGTCATTTTTGGTCTATTTCTGGGTCTTATTCCAGCCTAAACATGGATCTGAAGGTCGATTTTGCGAAAAAGTCTGGTATTTCGGCATTCAACGCGTTGTTTAGTAACGATCTCATCAGAGGAGCAAAGAATCCCTCGAGTGTGTTCATTAAGGATGTAAGAGAGTCACTTTGGCCAATCTTCTTCGAAATCAAACCTTATGCTCATAGTTATAAAAACTTTTTCGAATTTTATAATTTCTCACCATTTTTAAAATGGCATATGAAAAGCAACTTCTTACACCAGAATTAAACTCTCTTGACAGAAAATCTACACAGATGGTCAAAAACTTCCTGTAAGAAATTTTTGGGATTCAAAGCCCTCCATAAAAGGCGGTGTTGTCATATTTTATTCCCTGAAATCATGGAAAACCTAGTATTTCAGTATTTGGTGGCTGTTCCTTGCCTAGCTCATTTAGAAAGTTCAAAAATCATTATTTTTCATATGCAATGGCCACATTACTAAGAATTATATGTATGCATGTATTTATCTATGTATATGTTTATTTATCTCCCGTCGCATCATTGGTACATACATATCATTGGTGAAAATCAAGAAAAATTTGCTTCACCCCTCACACAACCTCTCCCCCCATTTTTATTAGACAGATTACGAATACAGAGATAAATACACCCCACACATTTGGCGTCTCGGTTTTTTTGCCTATGGATTTGCCGGAAACTCGATAAGTAGGGATATTTAGGAACGAGAACCACGAATTTAATGTTACATTTAAAAAGAAAAAAATGAAAGGAAAAAAAATTACAATTTTCCCCACTTTGAACTTAAAGTAGCCACCCTGTAGGGAAAATTGGTTTCTCTAAAAATCCCAAGTCAAATGCTTCTTTTCCATGCCCAAATACCCTCAGGCACAGTTCTAGGCAAATCCATCCCCAAAAACCAAAGTACCACTTTTTGACCTTTTCGCGTTTTGGCTTTTAACCGTCCGCCATTTTGGAATAGTTTGAGTCATTGTCTTTAATTTTGCACAAAAATTCTTCTTTTTTATGTTCTTTCAAACAAAGAAGTACCAAGGGGTTTGCTGTAATTTTAAAAAAAATTGGGGCCAAATGCAGCTGCCTGCGACCGCTCCCCCCCCCCCCCCCCCCCAAAGTTTGAGGGCTCATAAAGTAGCTTCCATTGACGTAGGGATGCCCTCCAAGTTTCAAATCTTGAGCATCATTAGGTAAAACGTTTGAGGAGGTGGAAGGAACTTTTTGATCAGCCTGGATGTACATGCCATATTGAAATCTTTTTATAGCTCTGTCACAAAATAAAATTTCTGTGGGAGCACTTTTTCCTTTAATCATGTTTCTATCTTTTATCTGCTATTTAGGTGAATCAAACAGAAGAAACTCCGAAAAGCATCTTAAGAAAGTCACCTAAATTTGCTTCTGTAACAACTCCTACCACCACTGCAAAAAAGCGCCAAACAAAATCGCTGAGATTTGGACCACCTATGTTCCAAAGCCCTGATTCTACTAGTCATGGTAAGATCATTCTCTGTTCTTGTGAAACTTGTTCAATATTGTTGCTATGTAGTAAGGTAATACTTTGATGTAACAACTTTCAGTAAATAGGCCAATACTGATTAATAATTCATTAATCATGGACACAATTCTGCATTATGTAACTCAACCAAATGTTAGCATTTCAATTCACATTATTCTAGATTCGTTTTTTCTCACTTAAATTTAATTTCCACTTCTACAAAAAGAGAGCACAATTGAATCGTATTGAGCCAAAACTGCTCATGTCCATTTCTTCATTATTGGGACTTTTGGGTTACTTCCGAGAGTTATATGATGACTTGGTTAATTGGCCACTTACAGAAGCAAATGACTCCTCCAATGAGGAAAGCAATAGGAGTGAGGCAAGATATGTGTGAAGAGGTATATCTCATCTTTGACAGCATTGCTTCCACTTAGAGTACCTTTATAGACAGAGTGTGGCCATTCGTATCTTTTTACTACAGGAAAACTGTTCCGCTTTTTGATTGGCCAACAAGTTTTTAGGCTTCATGATGCTCTTAGGGCCGTAAATAAACAAACAAGATGGCGGCTCACTGTAACATCGATGAGAAGCTAAATTTGACAAAAATTTCAATTATGCGGCAGTAACAATTTAAACGAGCATATCTACGAATACCACACGAAAAACACATGAAAACATTGTTAAATTGCCTTTCACCTTTATCACAGGAGGCTGTAAGATGTGCATAACCTCAATCTTGCTTGATGATAACGGCCATCTTGTCTGTTTATTTACGGCCCTAAGAGCATCGTGTCAGCCTATTCGCTCGCGACCAATGAAAAACCGGAACAGAAATGGCCATACTCTGTCTATAAAGGTACTCTACTTCCACTGAGATTAAAGTTCCTCTTATTATTTTTTTCATTTATATTGTATTTCACATTGTATTATATAGGGTGTCTCACGAAAAAGGAGCCACCTTGAATATCTGCCGAACGTGTCGGAATTTCGAAAAACGGTAAAAGACGTGTTCGTTTACATTGAGGGGGACACCTTTTTGCGTATTTGACATTTTCCCAAACCGCAGGAGGGGCGCGGGACGAGGGTGCCCCACCCATAAGTCGAACTTTTCAAATGGCACCCCTACTTATCTATTTCAGAAATCAACTCTATGCCAAAAAACAAGCCCTCCTGTCTAAACCGAATGTTAATCGGACAATTTTCAGTGATTGGCAGTGGTTGAAACATTTTTTTCATGTTCTTTTCAAAAATTCCCTACGCCCAATGGAATTGCTGTATCAAATTAAACTCTCCGCCATAAAAATTCTTAAACATTGCACTTTCGATAAAAAAAAAAAAAAAAAAAAAAAAAAAAAAAAAAAAATATCTGCTGTACTCGAAAGCTGGAGCACGCGGAGCCCTTCTTCGCGACATTAAAATTCGTTTTACCAAACATTTCCGAGGGGCACTCATCGGAAGGCAAGGGAGTAGTCTTTAGTTTTAGACAAGAACTATTATTCTTTTTTCTGAAGCATAAGAAACCCTGTCCATGAAGAAACAGCTAAGTAGAAAAACAAAGCACCGAAGAAAAATAGCATCCTCAGGGGTATTAAGGTCCGGCTCAAATCATTGAAACCCACCCCCTTAAAGCTAATCCATTTGTTTTTCTACTTAGCTGTTTCTTCATGGACAGGGTTTCTTATGCTTCAGAAAAAAGAATAATAATTCTTGTCTAAAACTAAAGACTACTCCCTTGCCTTCCGATGAGTGCCCCTCGGAAATGTTTGGTAAAACGAATTTTAATGTCGCGAAGAAGGGCTCCGCGTGCTCCAGCTTTCGAGTACAGCAGATTTTTTTTTTTTTTTTTTTTTTTTTTTTTTAATGGAAAGAGCAATGTTTAAGAATTTTTTTGGCGGAGCGTTTAATTTGATACGGCAATTCCATTGGGCGTGGGGAATTTTTGAAAAGAACATGAAAAAAATGTTTCAACCACTGCCAATCACTGAAAATTGTCCGATTAACATTCGGTTTAGACAGGAGGGCTTGTTTTTTGGCATAGAGTTGATTTCTGAAATAAATAAGTAGGGGTGCCATTTGAAAAGTTCGACTTATGGGTGGGGCACCCTCGTCCCGCGCCCCTCCTGCGGTTTGGGAAAATGTCAAATACGCAAAAAGGTGTCCCCCTCAATGTAAATGAACACGTCTTTTACCGTTTTTCGAAATTCCGACACGTTCGGCAGATATTTAAGGTGGCACCTTTTTCGTGAGACACCCTGTATTTGTGCGGGGACTGTTCCTTATCCACAATCCACTCCTGTAATAATTAACTTCTGGACATTTTATAATCCTGGTTTTATGAGGCTACTACAGTTTCTTGCACTTTTCTCAAAATTAGAGATAAGGTATTCAGCGGTTTTCGCATGACACGATTCGATTGGTAAGCTTAATTTTGAGCTGCTACTCTCAGTACAGCATAATTTTTCCAATAATTTTTTTTTTTTTCTTATAAAAAAAACAATAATTCCATTTTTTTTTCCTTTCATTTTCCTGCATAATTTTTCGTATAATTCAGCATCATTTCTTATGAAAGTGGCTACAGCTATGCAAAGTTGCCATAAACATTCTGTGAATGGACAATGGACATCCCGTTTTCCCTCACAACTGAGGAGTCCCCTTGCAATGAGAGAACAATGAAGCAGCTGAATGCTTTTTTGTCTCACGTACAATCTTCCCTTTTGTAAGCTAATTTTTTTCGCTTTTTAATGTTCCAGTTTCCTACAGCCATTGGCCCCTCCTAAACAGGTTACGCTCAGTTTCTTATCAAATGAATATTTATAATTACCATGTGAACTGGTTCGCTGCGTCCTTAGACAAAAGTAGTAAAAATTCTTGCAACAACTCAATAGCTTCAAAAACATCGAGATAAAATCATCAAATTTTTTTTTACTTCCAGGTACGCCAATGAGTGACTCATCTGTTCCTGCCACCAAAAGGTCGAATAAAATCAGAGGAACACCCTACAAGAAAGCTTCATTGGATGAAACTTTTTCGATGGATGAGGACGATTCACCAGAAGTGCCAAAAATTGAAGTCATACAAACCCCCCTCAGGAGATCCCTTCGCAAGCAACAAAAGGAGGTAGCAATCTGAGACTGTTAGTCGCCAGTAGTTCGATCTGGAAACTACCACCTCGGAACCACAATAACAGTAGTACTCAGATTAGTCAGAAACCCACCTAAGTTCAAAGAATCGCCTGATCTTGTTTATCACGTTCAGAACACGATGTCAAGAGAGTCGGGATGACTTGGTATCACAAAACTCGGGATTTACTGAATTCTCTGCAATTTTTCCTATCCAACCTCAAAAATAACGTTCTTTTAACTTTTTAAAGTTCCATCTTTTCTAACCATTTCTTCTTGATTGTCAAGTGTGATAAAAAGAGGTGCCTACCTTACCCCTCGTAATTATTGCCTGCTTTTCTATCTGGGGAGTTGGAGAGTAGAATCAGTTCCCCTTCTCCTTCATGACAGATTAGCTAACTAGCACGGAAGCGGCCAGCTGAAGAGAAAACCGTAGTCCTCATATTTCTCTCTTACTCTGATTGGCATTAGGCAGTTACTTCTCAAGCTCTTGCTGGGCGCCACAAGGGCATCAGCGCTGGCACAGGTACAATGGGCCTGTTGCAAACTTTTGCTAGAGCAAAAATAAGAGTTGTTTTTTATAGATAATGCCTCAAAAATCACGATGAGCTCATCGGCAAAGTCTGAAATGCACTCATAACTTCACAGTCTGCGTAAGAAATTTGCGTTTTTTTAAGCTTCCCGCTTCAAAAACGATACTACGGCACAGGTGAACATTTTGTAAGAGGAGTCGTTCCATCGTCGGCAATAATCATCATGGCCGACGCCAATCCGCCAAAACACGTTTGATGGGACGAGATAACACCTGAACTGGATTAGACCAGGTAACAATCGGTGTGTTAACGTTCATATTTTCCACGCCCGAATTGATTGACCTTGAACTCTCCTCGAATTACGCGCGGAACTGCGCGCAAGTGTCGGCCATGATGAATATCGTCGACGATGGAGCGACTCCTCCAACAAAATGTTCACCTGTGCCGTAGTATCGTTTTTGAAGCGGGAAGCTTAAAAAAACGCAAATTTCTTACGCAGATTGTGAAGTTATGAGTGCATTTCAGACTTTGCCGATGCGCTCATCGTGATTTTTGAGGCATTATCTACAAGAAACAACTCTAATTTTTGCTCTAGCAAAAGTTTGCAACAGGCCCATTGCCCTATTTTGCAAGTATCGTTCCAGGAAATCGTTCTGGAGAAAAAAGTGATGAATAAATGAAGCATTAAGGATAAATTCACGCATTTGCTAGTCAAAAGGTCAAAAGTTGCATTTAAAAATCCAAACACCGCCCGATTCATGCTGGCGCTATCCTCTCTCCTCATACCATTTTGCATTGCCCTTCCTTCCACCCAATCCCCCTCCCCCCCAAGAATCTCTCACAGATGTTTGAAAATCGGTAGCAATGGGCACTAAATACTGAATTCTTTTCCAGAATAACAACTGCTGCTGGCGCTGCACCATGCATGTGAAGTGATGCATTCAAGAATCGCACCTTGTAATAATTCAATTTCAAACGGCTCAAATGAAAATTGACTGATAATCGCAAATTTGTTTGGTCCAACACATTTCTAAAACACCTCTAAAAGCCACTTATCATTGCATTTACGATGCATATTTTATTACTTGTCAAAATAGGACTTGTAATTCGAAAAAGCCCCTCAGAAAAGGACCAAACCTGTTCAAGCTGATAACTCGCTTTACTCAGCTCATTTGCCTAGTCCTGATACAAAATCAGTTATCACATTTTTGCCGTATTGCATTGATACAAAATCATCAGAATTGGTCTTATTCCTATTATCTTTATTAACTGCCTGGACTTTCTCATTCATTAACTGCAGAAAACATTAATTTAAAGAAATTGAGTTTTGACTCGTAGTCAATAAAAGGTTAGAGAGATGGTTGCTATAGTGCACCGCAAACTGCTGAAGGCAAGAAATGTCATTAATTCAATAAGATTACATTTTTGCAACATTATGATCCTTTGTGCCCTCCCTAGCTCTTTTTCTAGGGCCAGTCCACATTGAACTTAGTGGCGACTGACTTAATTTTTGCCTGGATTTGATGCCAATGTCTTGAAACTGGCACATGGAGTCTTGTAGTGCCGAGTGGACCTTAGTTTAGGAGAGCCTGCCTATCGTACCTACAAGTTTCATCAAATTCTGTAAGAGAACTATCCTCAAAAGAATGCTACCTCCTATACAAAACTCACCAGGATCACACAAAAGTGCTCTCGGTTCTACGCATAGAAAAATTTAGACCGTTGAAAGTTTTTATTCTTAACTAACAATTTTTATAAACTTCTAACCAGGACTTAAGTTAAAATCAATCATTGTAAACAATTCCAAAATTAAGTGGAACCTTCTGGTTGCTAGGTGCATAACATCTTTTGCCCCGATTTGGCAAAACGGACCATTGACAGAGTGAGCAATCTAGTACAATGGCACACCATAAAAAAATTTCAAGCAAAATAAAGTGAACACTTTCAAAATTTTCACTTAAGACTTACAAATTAGAAACTGGAATTTTTCATGCCGGTCAAATCACAACTCCTGCCCACCAAAAAACCAAGGTCTACCTTCAGCAAAGCGACCACTTGACTAAGTTTTGTAAATATGTTCCAAAATCGAAAATGTTCTCCTTGTGCTGGATGAGCTTACAATTTTGTGAAACTCAACACCTACAGTTTGTCAAATACATAAGATGTTTTCAATGGCTGATGTGGCCTACGCTAATTTAGGTTTTTTTGTGATTTGGAAGTTTTTACTCACTTACTGACTCTAATGTGGAGTACAACTGCAAATTTCTCACTAATGAGTTGAATTTGGCATTTTGCAAGGAAGTGGTGTTTTTCAAGGAGCATTGATAAAAAGAACTAGCCCTCCAATTAATTCTTACATTTTTAAAGTTTCACTTATCTTCATTTTCTTATTCTAGTGGCTATATTATCAGGATTTTTTTTTAAGTGAACTGCATCTCCTTCTAGTAATTAATTTCTTCTTTCAGTGGTTCATCAGCATTGAGATTTTCTCAAACTGAGTTACGTCTCCTTCTGGTTAACTTTTTTCCTCTGTAAATACTCTCTCTCTGCTCTGTAAAAACTTGCCTTAGTCTAAAGTAGTGGGGTTATGTAGATTAAGCCAAGCAGAACAGTCTCATCGATAATGCAGTGTTTCAACATATTTTTTCTCCTATTTCAATGTCTCGTAGGATATCAGCCTACATTTTATTCAAGCAACAAATTTTGTGAAACAAAGCTTTAGAAGGTGAGGTGGGGTAACTGGGGACGAGTCTTTTGGAAAATAAAAATAATTTAAACCTTGAAGCCTTGTTTAAAACAGAGATTAGGTAGAATGCTCCAACTTAATTTAGCCCTTTGCTTCAAAGATGGTGAGGTAGAAACTCAAATAGCTTATGCCAAATTTTCTCAAAGAAAAAGGAACCTCTACTACTCCTTTTGTTGCCAAACCCAGTCACCCATCAAATTGGGGTAACTGGGTTATTGGTTCTGAAATTTTTCGGAATTTTCTTTTGAAAATATTGGCAGGAACTTTCTCTAAATTTGCCAAAGTACTAACAAGGGGAGGCTACCGATTGTACCCCTCAGATCGGGTTCAAATTTGGCAGAGAGGTAGAATAGGTTAATATAAGAACCCTTATTTTTTTTTAGGTGCCAATGCCCAGCCGTTTTTGAGTTATGAATTTTTGAAGTTGCCGTTTTTTCGTGTCAGCGACGCGCTCAAGTTGAGCCTACTGTGCGCGCACCTTTTAATGCGATCCGAATGTCGTGATGATCATGTGACACAGGTGTCCAAGCGGTAGCGCGCTCGCCTATGGTGCTGCAGGCTTGGAGTTCGATACTTGTTCCGTGAATTTAATTTTTAAAATGGATGATTTTGTTTTTTAATCGCTTCATCACAAGAAATTGTAAGTCACCTTGTAGACGTTATGATTCTAATTATTTTTCATGTATATTTTATTTTTTATTTTTTTTTAATGAGTGTTTGACAAAAAGGAAAAAAATATAATTAGCATCACAACGTCTACAAGGTGACTTACAATTTCTTGTGATGAAGCGATTAAAAAACAAAATAATCAATTTTAAAAATTAAATTCACAGAACAAGTATCGAACTCCGAACCCGCAGCACCATAGGCGAGTGCGCTACCGCTTGGACACCTGTGTCACATGATCATCACGACACTCGGATCGCATTAAAAGGTGCGCGCACAGTAGGCTCAACTTGAGCGCGTCGCTGACACGAAAAAACGGCAACTTCAAAAATTCATAACTTAAAAACGGCTGGGCATTGGCACCTAAAAAAAAATACAGGTTCTCATATTAACCTATTCTACCTCTCTGCCAAATTTGAACCCGATCTGAGGGGGACAATCGGTAGCCTCCCCTTGTAAAATGGATAAGTAAAGAAAAAAAACATTAAGAGGTGGCCCGAACTGTATGTAACAAGGTGGAGAAATGGTGCTGGGTCTACACCATTTCGCAGGGAAAACAAAGCCAGGAAGTTCCATAAATTAAAATTAGAGTCTAAATTAATTTTTTTTTCTTTTTTTTTTTTTCATTAGGGTTCAAATACTTAATTTTGACTCTAATTTTAATTTTTGGAACTTCTTGGCTTTGTTTTCCCCGCGAAATGGTGTGGACCCAGCACCATTTCTCCACCTTGTCAAAATGGATAAGCTGCCAAAGTATTTTAAGGACACTCTGGATGCTAGGAGGGTCTGCAGCCTAAAGCTTTGAAAAATGGTGGAATAAAAATTTTGAAATTTATCAAATTTACTCACAACAAACAAAACTTGTTTCTTGTACTTAACAAGTAAAACTTGTATCAGTTTAAAGTAGAGAAACGTATTTAATTACTCTCGAGCAAAGCATAATTTAACTTGGGCAGACTTTGCTGAAAAGTTCGTCTCTATAAGGATTTTGCCACAAAATAGACGGTCACTACATCAACTCAGAAACTGTAAGATTTTCAATGAACATGGGGATTTCAGCTTCATTTTTCCAAAAAATGAGTTATATAGTTAGTATATAATGATTAAATGTAAAAAACTTAAAATATGAACATTAAAACAACTTGTTAAACATTGGAAAAGTGGTGTACCCAGTCACCTCAGGTACGGGGTGCAGCTACCTTGTTCAGTATATTGGACGCGGAGCAACTGAGTGGTATACCCAGAAAAACATAGGCCTCCCTTATCTTTCGCCCTAATTGCTGAGATTCATTCCACATGTTTCGAATGTTATGTTAAACATGTGAAGTGGCAAAAGTACAAACTAATTTTTTTTTTTTTCAGACACTCAATAAGTATGAACAAGTTGCGTTTTGTTCACTGGAATTTGTGACCTCAAGTTCGCACGCCCACAGCATCTGAAAAACTATTTTTTTCGAGGTTAAAGCTTTTTTTTATAGTAAGTTTACATCATCAACTATATAAAAATCCCTCTTAATAAGCGAAGTATAATGGTATCCCATGAATACCCCAGCTAACAGTTACCGCATCTCATCTCATGGGCAAGAAAATTTGCTAAAATTTTCGAATGGAATGTTCGTTGGTTTCCTCCCATAAATTAAAATGGGAGATAAAATATTGAAACACTGTAACAGAGTTGTGACTGTTTTGCTTAACTCCATCCATTTATCATTGTATCATTGTATGTTTTGTAAATGCGGTTGTTTAGTTAGTAATAAAATTTGAAAAAATCGGCACTCACACCTATGATCTCTTGGCTTGAGTGGTAGTTTAATTGAGGAAGTCAATTAAACAAACCATTTGTATAAACTTTTTTCAGAAACAACTTCAATCTACGTACGTAAATAAGAGATATAGTTAAAAAGAACGGTAATATCATAAGAAAAAAAAAGTTTTATTTTAGAAGATGTAAAATTTTAGATTTAATCGCCTTTTTCCTTGAATGATGCTTTGCTAACTCATATTTTATCATAATTGAGACTTGGGACATGAGAAATGCCCGTGGTGAAAAAATATTGAATTCAGATTTCTGCACTCGAAAATTTTAAGTCTACTTTTCTGATTTTGATAAAGAAAGTCTCAAGAAATTGTGCATCTTATTCTTAGTTTTTGCATAAAAAAAAATAGCAAGAAGAAAGTAATTAATATGAGATACAGTTTGGCCTACTTTGGTTAATTTTGTTTAATTACTATTGTTAATATCTTTGGTAATTTACGAAGGTTTTCATTTGTTCTGATACTTATTTTTCACTGGTCAATGCATGTCTTGGGTATTGAACCTCTCATCCTAATGTAGGCATGGCTTTGAATCATGTATATCTTATTTTTATTTAAGTCTTGAATTAGACGAAGATTTTATCATTTTTTAGCATAAAAAATTTACAATTTGTTTTTCCTTACATTGTTTTCCATCTTTCTCCTTAAAGTATTCTATTTAAATGATCTTAGATACTCAAAATGTCTTACCTAGGTAATATATTCGTTTTACTGCAGAACATGAAGTCATCAACTGTTTCTTAATTTTTCACGTGAGTGGGGCATATCCCGCATACATCAGCAGACTGTATTGTCAATACTTGAGATACGTGAGAAAGAGGTGATATTCAGCACCTAAGTGTCTGCATGCCTGAGGCCTTTTCGCCTTCCTTTTCAATCTGAAGTGTCAACTTAGTATTATTGATAATGAGAAAACCCAATAATCAGTTTTAAAAAGTTTGGCCTCACGGTAAAGAAAATTATAAATCTCAGCAAATATATAAAAAATTCTGTCCAACAGGGAACTGTGGATTTTTTCTAATTACTTGGCACAGGTGCAGAGATTTTTCTTGCAAGTTGCAAGAGCCATGCAGAATTAAATCAGCCATCCTCAAAATAAAGAAAAAAAAGGAAAAAAAAAAAAAAAACCCAAGCTCCAAAAAATTGAAAATAGAGTTACCAACAGTCCATACCATACCAACAATTTCTTGCAGTGGTGTTCATGGATCATCCTATTGAAAAACGATTAAATTGTGGTGGCACCTATATGATTTTTACAGTCTCTTTACATTTCATCACTTTTTGAGTTAATAAAGTGAAGTGTTATCCTGTGTTTCAAGTGGTTAATCACAGTGGGTTTTAACTAAATCTAATTAAGAAAATGAAAGTCCCCATATCTGAAAGCGGAAAAGTACAGCGAAACACCTCAGGAAAACATCCCCGCTGAAAAGAAAATCATTCGCTGGGCCGTTTTTTTTTTGCCCCCCCTCCAAGCCAAAATGGCCAATATGCGCCGCCGCGGGGTGCAAATGTTACAACTCCCTCACAATGTCAATTGACACATCGATTCCTATGTAATTTTGGTCGTAGAATCCGAATATGAGGTCAGAAATCCCTCACGATTAAAAGGGATCGCTCAAATTCAAGATGGCGGCCAAAAATAGGCCCCGGAGTAAAAATTCTCAATTCCAGCTTTTGGTGACGAGCGAGATGTCTTTTCTTATGTTTTTTGGGTCATAGCATCCAAATTTGAGGTCAAAAATTCCCTTCTGGCCGACAGGGATCTCTCAAATGGCTTCCATTTTGGGGCTGACATATTATTTCCGAAAGACGCGTATAGTCGAGTGAGGTGTCTTTTTACATGATTTTTGGACCACATAATCAGAAACTGGGATCCAAACTGTGTCCCTGTGGGCCGGAAGGTAAGATTTGTCCCTTAGCACCTTGATTGTAACGTTTTTATCAACTATTTAAATAAAAACTCAGAATTTCACTGTTATAACGGCGCCAACCTCACCAAAAATACTCTATTCTCACAAATAATGTTTGACCTTTTTGCCTATGAGGAGCTATAGTCCCCTGCTTCACAAAAAAACTAGCGTTAACTAAATAGAGCAAACTAAATTCAAGTTTCTATTTACAAACAGTAAATCAAGTTATATTATTTATTCTTATATTGATACATAATACTTCTATTATTACTACATGATTTATTCGTATTCAGATAAAACATGTCTGCATGATGATTGCATTCATACAGTTGAATCTTCGTTAATGTCTTGAGAAAAAAACTGTGATTAAATTTAAAAGATAATTAAAAAAAAAAAAAACAAGAACAAAAACCAGCCCAACAAATGATTTTCGGAACCCATTTTGGCCGCCATCTTGGATTTGAGGGATCCCTGTTGGCCAGAAGGCAATTTTGGACCTCAAATTTGGATCCTATGACCCAAAAAACATAAAAAAAGACATCTCACTCGTCACCAAAAGCTGGAATTGAGAATTTTTACTCCGGGGCCTATTTTTGGCCGCCATCTTGAATTTGCGCGATCCCTTTTAGTCGTGAGAGATTTCTGACCTCACAATCGGATTCTACGACCAAAATTACATAGGAATCGATGTGTCACTTGACATTGAGAGGGAGTTGTAACATTTGCACCCCGCCGCGGCGCATATCAGCCGCCATTTTGGCTTGGGGGGGGGGCAAAAAAAAAAACGGCCCAGCGAATGATTTTCTTTTCAGCGGGGATGTTTTCCTGAGGTGTTTCGCTGTACTTTTCCGCTTTCAGATATGGGGACTTTCATTTTCTTAATTAGATTTAGTTAAAACCCACTGTGTAATCTGATGACTTAATCATGAAATCTTGAAAAACCGCCTTTCAAGTATCTATCATCCTTATTTTCTTGCATGACCTGACAATATCTTTCCTTTTATAACTTTATTTTTTGATGAACAAAAATCCTTCACTGAGGATGTCTACAGGTCCAGCAGTCATTTTTGCCTTCGTATTTGCCACCGCCTTCCAGGTTGCTAATTGCTCATCTGTTATTTTTAGTCAGCAAGCAGTGTTTTTGTTTGTAAAGTCTGTATTGATAACTTAGCGTATTGTTCATTTTTCTTTAAGCTATACCTGGTCGGTTCGGTACCCTGGCGGTAATGACGTTTAAAGAGGTTGAGAGATGATTGAGGAATTACTATCTCATTTTTTCTTTAATGCTTCACAAATGCCTCACTAATATTTCAGTTACTTTTTGATACATAATAAGTATTACAATTTTGTTCATTAACTACTTTTAGATTGTTTGACAGTCATATGAATTTGATGAAAACTGATTGCCATTCTTCATTGTTCCTATTAATAGACAAGTTTATTTCCATCTTTTATTCAAGAGTATTTAAGTATATATAGACTCTTGTTTATGTAACTTTGTTTGATTACCAGTAGACTCGCTGTTAGTGGCAATGACGTTTAAAAAGGTAAAGGGACGTTTGAGGAATTGTCATCTCACGTTTTTTTTTTTGTATTCTTCAGAAGTGCCTTGTTAATAATTCCGTTAATTTTTTGATACATGGTAATTATTGCAATCATGTCCATTAGCTATTATCTGACTGTTTGACAGTCATATGAATTCGATGAAAAATGATACCCATTCTTCATTGTTCCTGTTTATAGGCAAGTTTCATTCGATAATTTTTTGGGGGGTGATTAAGTTCACTGGGTGTCTCTAAGCACCTGTCCACTATACCGTGAAGCATTTGCGTACTCATTATCACACTGCTGGACCTATAGACATCCTCAGTGAAGAAGAAAGATGTAATTTTAGTTCATCAGAAAATAATATTATATAAGGAAAGATATTGTCGGATTATGCAGGAAAATAAGGATGAAAGATACTTGAAAGACGGTTTTTCAAGATTTAATAACTTTGACTTCAGATCAGCCACCTTAAAACACAGAATAACACTTTACTTAATTGACTCAAAAAGGTGCCACCAAAATTTAATCGTTTTTCAACAGGATGATCCACGAACACCACTCTTAACTGCTCCTTCTCGGTCTATAATAATGCTTTCCATAAAAGCAGTATAAAGTTTTGCTGAGCAAAGGGTTGGTTCCTCTAATTAAGGTATTAAATCTAATACTTCGTGTCATAGAAACGAAACATTGCCAGTTTGAAAAATACGCAAAATGAAAATTCTAAAACGTTCCCGAATGTTTTATTACTACATAAGCGAAACGTTTGTTACAATATTGTAACAAACGTTTACTACATAGATATCTATGTAGTAAACATCGATTCAGCCACTAATGGGGAAATCGACGGTGAAAGTCGGCAATCACATAACTCGTTTGCGGTGTCTGAAAATCTCCGCCTATACGTCAATTTTTAAAAGAGAACAAATTGACATTATTTCTTGAAGTTCTTGCAGAATTTTCTTCGAATTGAGAAGAAAAATCATGACAGTTTTAAAGAATTGCCGTTCAGTAGTTTTCCATTTAAAAAATAAAGTATGACAAGAAGTCTGCGACGTCGTAAACCGAGTTATGTGATTGCCGCCTTACACCGTCGAAATGGGTCATTCCATGAGAAATCAGCCAGAGCTGGTTGCTCGACCAGCTCAAAAACCTTTAGTATTTTTCTCTCACATTCTTGCATAATAATAACTTAACACAAAAATGGCAGTTGTAAGTTTTTTAAACATTTTTCCACACTAGTAGTGGCTATCCAAAGTGGCTTTACTTTGGGAAAACAGCGTTTGCGGTGGTGGGAATTACTCCAGAACAGAATGTCGGATTTAGGTCTGGTAAAAACAGAAAAGAAGGTAGGAGGTAGGTATTGGTGCAAGCTATTCATATAGGGAAAAACCAATATTCTAGTTATTTCTAATCAGTTGTTCGATATTAGGTTTTTTTTTTTTATTTATTTAATCTTTTTTTATTTAAAAATTAATTAGGTTATATGTATATTATATTTATATAGGTCC